AAATATGTGTGAATTGGATGGAGGAAGAAGAAGAAGGGCGGAAAATAAATGAAAGAGAGAGAGAGAGAGAGAGAGAGAGAGAGAGAAACTGACTCAATGTCCAACCATTTTTCCTATTGACTCAAAAGAACGAAACATTCTTCTACCACAAGTGAAACGTTTGAAGCAGATTTTCCGCTTTCAATTACGAAATTAACGATTTTAGATAACATTTTTAGGTGGAAAAATTTATTGAAATTCAATTTTTTTTCCGTGAAAATTTAAAAAAAAATGAAAAACAAGTTTTTTCTTGTTGAAAATGGCGATTGGGATTAGAATATGTATTTTAGCAAATCACCCTTATTCTGTATTTATGCAACGTTTCATCTCGAATCGATTTTCAGGCAAAGAAAAGCTCCACCATCAGCTCTCATCATTTGATTCAAACTAATCAAAACTGTGCATTGAACTAATAATCCAAATCGTGAAGTAGAGCTGCCAATTAGTTTTAAATAGATCCACAAAGTAATTTCAATTGAAAATGGCGGCATTTTTTCATTCATTTCAAACTGAGAGAAAAAAATTGCAGGAAGTTGAAAAAGAAGAAATGAGAAGAAAAAAACAAACCGAAACGTAACGCAGTGCATTGATGATGATCAGAACTTTTGGTTCGCATAAATTTCAAGCTGGTTTTGTCGAACTGGAGCGCATGTAATTAAAACATCTTGATGTAATTAGAAGGTAAATTATCGTTTGAAACGCAATGTTTTAACCATTTAACGTTTCAAATTGCACGATTTTTATAATGGCCGACAGCAGAGTGAAACAAGAAGCGAGAATTAAAGAAAAACAATCAAACACACGTTCTGTATATGATGCGAAGAACGACGCACGGCAAGTGTAATTGTTTTGTTTGCGCCAAGAGAGTTTTGTTTTCATTCACTCATTGTCAATTTCCAAGAACTAATTACCAATAAGCGGTAAGCAAGCAAACTGTTCGCATAATAACCAACCAAACAATTTATCAACAATAGCAAAACGGCAGGCAATTATAAAAATACACACACTGTCGAATGGGCAAAGCGTTAGAGAGAGAGAGAGAGAGAGAGAGAGAGAGAGAGAGAGAGAGAGAGAACATTTTATCATTGCAACACCACACATGAACACAAACCGATTCACGCAAATCCGAATTCTTTGATCTCATGCGATTCAAATTATTGACAAAAATGAATGAGCACATACACTCTTTTTTCCATTCGTATTGCGGTGTTTTTTCGAAATTGGTGGCCAACACACGTGATGCACTGACAACAACTGCAGTCGAATGCGAGAGTAAGCGAATGAGCGAGAAAGAGAGAAAACACACCCGAAAAAAGCGATTTATTTCACTTTATCAGTGATATTATGTAAAGTTCATGAGTAATAAAGTGAAAAGCCAAATCAGAGAAATGAACGAATTCGAAAAATGCGAACAGTTGGATTAATGAAGTACTTAATGTAAATTGCAGTGAAGTGCTCATTGCAATCAATTTATAAATACCGAAAAATCGATTTTACGTGTGTATATGAGCACGAGTAAAACAATTTTTTTTCCATTCCGATGTGTGTATGTTTGTGTCTTCAGCCGAGTACACGTTCGTTCATTCGTTCAGGTCATTTACCATTCAAAAAAATGTTTCCTCGTCGGGCCGGCAATTTTTCAATTCATAGACACACAGACCAACACAAGCTGAAAACAGCAAAAATACTCAATGTGATATATCAACAGATATTCGATGGCCGTAATTGACTTACTATGGCAAATCTAGTGTTTCGGAAATCATGTTAATAAATGAGAGGAATCTAACAACAACGCCGAAAGAAAAAAAAAGCACACACACATTCATCCAACGATTCCATTCAAGAGTGAGAGAGCGTCGAGTGCGTTTCGGTATACAAATTTTTCGACTGTTTGCTTTAAATATTCGCAATTTTTCTTCAAAATAAGGTCAGCGGCTGATTGCTTTTTTTCCGTCTCGCTTTTTCTCACTCTTGTGTTTGGATTTTGGGCATGGTTCAATAGCCAAAATGAACTCTGACGGAACAGGGAACAGTGGCTATTACGGGAAAAAAAACAGAGAGAGTAAGAAAAAGAGGAAAAAAAATCGTTAAATTGTAATGCTAAAAATGTTGAGTTTTTTCCCCATTTGTCGTATATCGAATAGAAAACACTTCGGTGTATGCTAATGTTCTGTGTGTGCCGTATCGTTGGAATATTTGTTGGCCGAGAGAGAGAGAGAGAGAGAGAGAGAGAGAGAGAGAGAGAGAGAGAG